GAAATTTTCTTTCTTTTACGTATGAAAATAAAGAGACTTAGAATTTACATCCCTTGCCCAAGTTTGTATAGCTAATGAGACTGTGTACCAGGATTCACCTGATCCCAAATCTCATGCACTTTCCACCATAAAAGAAGGGAATGTTTTCGAGAAGAATGATCTGAGGAAAGCAGAAGAAGAAAAGTTTTGAGCTCAACTAAACCTGTAGGTTTTTTTGTGTTTGTTTTCTAATAGACATGATAATGAATTCCCAAGAGAATCAAGAAAACAGATAAGCTATTAAATTAAGATAAAGTGATTTACCCAAGATCACATAATGAGTTGATGAGAAAACCAATTATATTTGATTCTAGACTTCATATATACTCAATGTATTTTTAACCATGCAATTGACACTTTTCTCTTATCACAACATTCTTAAATTTCTTAATCTCAGATATTTATTTCTCACCATAGAGCTGTTTGAGAAGATTCAAAGAAAATGTATTATTTTTTCAACTGAGTAACATTATATTGTTAAAATTCTGATATCATTTCTAAAAGATTCCTACTTTCTGTAAATTTATTTAGTGAATTTATCATGTAAGCATTTATTCCTCTAAAAAATTAAATCTTCAGCTCTTTGAAATATTGAGTAACTGGTAATATATTTGCTAAATATAAATGTAGTTATAACTACTTTACAAATTTTAATTTTAAAACTTATACAAGTATGTGCATTAAATGTGATGAAGTGATAAAGAATTAGCCACTATTCTAATGCATTGAGTTGATGATTCTTTCAATTTAAGAAAATACTACTACTTTAGTTTTGCTGATAATTTGAAAACTAAATTTAGGAAAATCTAAAACGATCTTCTGACACTTTGTATAGAATGTGTTCAACAAACTTCACAGTGATAATTCAAAGATAAAGTTCTTGGTCACATGACATTATTTTAATAACCTTTCATTTCCTACCTTTTTCCCATTTTCCTTTCTTTGTAGTTTATTTCCTTTTTCCTTTTTGGTAACCGATAACAAATAAAACCAAAAATAATCTTTAAATTCTATCACTAATTAGGTAATTTTATAATTTTCATCACAGCAATTTAGATTTCTTAAACATACTATGACAATATTTTTAGTGATACTCTAGAAATCTATAAAGACCACATGTTCAAAAACTACATTTAAAAAACCATATTTTAAAACTCCAACTTAAGAAAGAAAATAAGCAATGAGATGTTGCTTAACTTGAGATTTCCTGAAGATGTCTAAGCTTTGGACTAATCACAGAATTTCCAGGACACCTCCATGGATCAGTCCATGTTGTCCACACTTCACTCCATTATCACTCACCCTAAATCAAATCCAATGCATCTACATGTGTTGTTAGATATTTAGTTTTAAAGTCCATTTAATCCTAAAACTCATAGGATTAAATATCATTCTTCTTTTACAGACCAGAAAATGATGACATGAAGGCAGTGACTAATCCATTTAAGGTCAAAATGAAACTAGTTAAAATGAACTCGAGTCATGCTGACGTAGGCTTGACTATTTGGTGTAAGACATGGTGTCAGTTTTGAGTAATAAATATTTTTAAACCAGGTCCTACCTGTATTCTAATAGTGATTTAATCAAGAGATATAAAAAATTGATGCTGAGTTAACAGGAAAATATTTTATTACCTACACTTTAGTTCTTAAATGTAAGAGATATGTCCACCATATAGGAATCAGCAGGGAATTTTTCAATGAATGAGGGAATCAATGCTATTGGAGATTATTTATAATAATTCAAAGATACAGCACTCAGGTTTCCAAAATGCTCTCAAAAGCATCATATTGTGACTCTCAACCTTTCATAGAGTAGGCATCCATTCATTTGTCCCACAAATATTTAGGTGTCAACCATATATAAAGCATTGTGCCTTGATTGGTAGGTAAAATAATCTCTTTTAGGGAAGAAAAATTAAGTTTCAGTGGGTTGAGTGACTTGTCCAAGATCTAATGACAAGCAGTTCAAGAATCCTGATCTTTTAACGGTTAAACAGTACTTCTTCTACTACATCATGATGCATAACATATTTTATACTGCAGCATGTTTGTTTCTTTCAGTGCATGCCATGTACAACTCATTCTCCTAAGCTCAACAGAAAGAATATACTAAATAAGAGGTCTCTTTCCATTTGAGTGCTATTCTATGACTCACTGTACAGGTTTCTGGGGAGGTGAGATGACTATAGAAATAATTTCTGACTTACAATATGCTTTTCTTCACCAGTGGCTTTTGCCTTGCTTGTTAGAATTGGATGAATAAGTGCTGTTTGCCTGGAATTCACATCTTTTAAATGGTACAACAATAAAAGTCAATTACCAGAGGCCTTCCTAAGTTCCAATAATAATCATCTCATAATCCTACATGTTTTGATAAATACATATATAGCAAGCAACAATTCCAAAGGCAAACTAAAGATATTCAAATCCAATATGATACGATGGTATCACTAATTATATTGGAATATCAAATTAATATTTAGATGGCCTACAGAAAAAGTTAACCAAGAAGCAGTTTTATAATATTTCATAACTTAAAGATTCAGGGCAGAACTCCCTGTCCCACTCTCAACTATTTCTTATTAAAGGAAGAAAAGCAATTGAACAGATCCAGGGTTCACTGTTAATTATCCTCTGTCCTATATACACCTTACATTTTCCTGATTATGCAATCCTATTTTGCTTTTCTCTTTTGACTCTTAAATATAAGCAACAGCCAACAACACTTATCCTTACCAACAATACTCCCCCACCCCCCGCAACCCCAGGAGAGGGGATGCTGAATTACTATCTGGCCAAACCACATGCCTCCTTTTTCTCTAACAGACCAAAATAACTATCAAAACAGCTTACTTTAATAAAATATGGATATCCTGGAATAAATTACTGATTTCTCTTTAAAGACAGGTGATTCAGTACAAAAGAACGGTTTGGTTTATTAGCCCATCAACTCCCTTTTTATTTATTTATTTTTTCTTTTTTGGGAGTGGAGGACAGTTAGATATTAGCATGTAGGTAGGCATTAGGTTGGTCTGCAAAAGTCTATCTCAATGTAATGACATTTCCCCAAAGATAAGGATTGATATGAGCTTCCATGCACCTTGCCTGAGCTTGGGTGGGTGAATTTGAGTTATTTATTTCTGTGACTAAATCTCCAGAGGAATTAGGCAAAGGTAACTTTCACTTTGGGCAGTTCAGCCACACATAGGGCAAGCCTGCCCCCTCTACCACTAAGAAGGTAACTGCGGCCACATACCAACAGCCATGCTCCCTGGAATACATTCTCTGCTTTCTTTTTATGCTCTGCCGACCAGGGGAGTCTCTCTATGGTCATTAATTGACAACCAAAATAAAAGTCTAACAATATGCCGTAATTCTCTTAAAACATGATTTATCATTCCATGTGGTAATTTCACTTCCATATCTCTAAAATTAGGGGAAAAAAATGAGGTTGTGTTAGGAGCACATTGTAAGTCTCCTGGGAAGGAATCCAAATCAACGGTACATTTTCTTTTCCTCAGATTATCATTTCTGACCTATATAGGGCAAAACAGCCCCCAAGGAGCTCAATGACATAGATACCTCTGCTCCCTTTCTGCTAAGCAAGCAGGTTCGTGGTAAGCGGTAAGTGACAGTTAAGAATGATTTTTCCTCAGAGTGTAACTGCCACTCTGAGCCAATGCAAAACAAGGGCCCATCGACTTACCAACAAATACCATCTTAACTGCCTCAGATGATTTTTATGTTGAAATTGAGGAGTATAGGTATGGATATATATTAGAGACATTTTATATCAGCTATATATGAACTATGAAATAAAAAGAGAAACCTAAAGAACTATAATTTTTCAAAGGGGCAAACTCTTTCCACAGTGTTGGTTATGCATATAGCATCACATGTATTTATATGATTGTAGAAGTCCATACTTGCAAGTCAACACTCTCCACTGAACTGAATGTTCTCATTGGAATTGATCAAGCTCTTAGGGAAATGTCAGGCATGTGCTTAAATTTGTGTAACTGCCTTTACCCAGTGAACCTTTTTTTATTAAAACAGAATGCTTATCAAGGTCACTGTGAAAGCTTGTACTTTTAAACCTCCAGGGGAAGACAACAGAAACAAGAATCAACAGAAAACAGATTTAATTAACACTTGAAAGTTTATTGTTTGTCAAGAACCTATTGGCCTATCGCTTTTTGGATTTCAGTGACAAATGCATTTTGTAGAACGAAGAAGTCAGAATGGTATCAAAAGCCAGCTCTCCTAAAAAGGGACACTAAAGCTTCTCATTTTCTCCCTTCTGGCAGATCTGGTTTGAGCAAGCCGTCTTAAGATTTAAAAGGCTGGAAAGACTATGCTAAGTAAAAAAAAGTGTGTATTTCTTTAGGTAAAATTCTACAGGTGCAAGTACACTTGGGGGTTGGGGTAAAGAGAGGGATCAAGTGTGTATGTATACGTGTGTTTGTTTTTATACCTGGTTTGGCAAATTATAATCATATAAAATAAAATAGAAGAGGTTGCTAAACCATCTCTACTTGTAACTTTGAGTCTTGAATACTATATAAAACAAATAAGATCACTTTAAACTGCATGCATGAAAGACCCTTTTACAAAATGCCAGATTATATTAGTTTTGAAAAAAAAACAAGACACACACAAATTCAAAAATCAGCACTAAGAAAAATACTCAACCAAGAGTTTACTGTAATCATAAAAGGCAATACATATTATTTTTAATATTCTTGTCAAATAAGAGGCTTCAGAGAAGTAAAATATCCTACTATTTTATGAGGGAAGAGGTTTCCTAAGATCATGCTGCAGGAACATCATTGAAAAACAAAATTATCTACTTAATTCACACAGCAAGATCATACTTTTTATAATCTTTCTGTTAAAACCTTTACTTAAAAAAAGTCATTAGAGTTGTAAATAAGTAGAAGTAAGTATATTATCACTTACCAGCCAAGTAAAGGAATTAGAAGTCTTTCAGTTTCTCTAATGTAGGGATGTGAGTAGATCTGGAACCTCCTCTCACAAAGCTGTTTCCAAAATAGTTGGAAATCTCCGTGAGCATTCTGTTTATTTCATGAAGTGTAGGCCTTTGAGCACTTCGACCCTTTCTGCAGAGCCCATGGTTTTTCAGAGCCTCTAAGAACTTCAACTTCAGGCTCCTGCTTTCATTCCTCCCAGCCCCCTACGGAGAATTATTCTTGAAGTTGTTGCTGAGAGTTTGATCTGTGGAACAAGAGGACTCCTCAGAGCCCTGTATAGTAGTTGTAGCAGGTGGATAAGGAGGGTTACTTTCCGTCTATCAAGGAAAGAAAGGGGGGACCAAGGGGTATCAGGAGGCACCGCCTTTTAGCTGCAAGGAGCAGGGAGCCCAGATGCCCGTGGCGACGACAGTGGCGGCAAGGGCAGCGCAGTTCTGTCCCTGTGGCTGCGGACCAGTCCGGAGACGCTGTCCATCCCCTCCGGTGCTGAAGTATACGGACTGGAACCCCCCAGCCCCTCCCCAGATCGCACTTTCCTCCACCAGCGAATGCAAAGAGCTTCCTTGTCTTCCAGTCTCCCCTTCTTTCCTCTGGCGCTTTATATTTTGGTAGGGATTAACTGTTTTTCCAAAATAATACTCTCATACTTATTTGGTGGCAACGTTTCCGGGCGTTATCTGACATTAGAGGTAAGAATCCGTGGGAGATCAGATTTGAGCCTCTCCTGACTTTTCAGTGGCCCTGAACGAGTTTCCTAATGCTAGGAATGAAAGGAAACGCACGCACAAGCGCGCGCATACACGCGCACGAGGAAGTGGGTGGGGGGGAGAGGGAGAGAGAGAGAGATAGAATATGAATAAATATAGATTATGTACCGTGGAAAATCCAGAGTTTCTTTGGGTCTCTAATTACAGAAAATGGAAAGGGTTATTTTTGAAGACTCAGCAATCTTGACTACCAATTAGGGGGACCATACTTAAATTCTGAAAAGCCCCATTTGAAATCCGTGGGTTAGACACAGTAAAGAGGTCGTGGGTTCTTCTTGGACCCTCCAAGCAGAAATGACAGGTTAGTTAAAACAATAAGAAGACAGAGAACGAAAAAAAGAAAAAGAAAAGAAAAGGCATCTATCTCGGCTTTGCTACCTTTTAAAACGCTGCTGGATTGGTTCGGAACCGTTGCACAGCAGCTAAGAGGATCCAGCCGGACGCGGTTCATGTGAGTGTCAGTGCCTGGGGAGCCTCGCGAAACAGAGTGGCGAGCCCGGAGCCTCGGGAGGTTGCGTTCCCAGGGCAGAGATCTAGAGCCGCCCACGGCCCAGGCTCCTTGCAGGGATGTGGGAAGAGTCTGATTTCACAAAGGATCGAATAAAAAATGCATAAAGTCAGCGGGAGGGCTCGACCATCCCCGCCCTTTTAAAGCCAGAACAATGCCCAACCCACCCGGCCCTTTGCCTGGGTTTTCAGTGCATTTCCCCTTGTCTCCCACGCCGCCCGCTAGCCTCTCTGGTCCAGAGTCTCCCCAGGCCTTGCAGGCACTTCGCTCCCGCTCTGTACAGTTCCCCCACTTCTGCCCATTCTACCTGCTCTTAATAACCGGCGGATGCCACGCGTAAGGAAGGGTTTGTGTGGGTGGTCCCCAGGGCGGTCACTGAGGGCTTCGCCACCCACACTCTACAACGGGTGCAGATGTGCGTGCTGTGAGCCGGGGAATTGAAATACACAACGTTGAAACTGTTGGAAAACTGATCAAAATCGCATCCCCTGGGACCTTTGGAGCTATGTGTGGTGAAGAGGGAAAATGTAGGTAACACAGCCCACCCCTTCAGGCTCTGAACTTCGGCAGTGTAGATTTCTGAGCCAGGAGAATTAGGAAAATAATTACTACGGGTGCGGGGGGAGAAAGGGGGGCGGAACGAAACAGTAATTTCTCTAGGGTGGTAGGAGAGGGGCTGTCGCCTGTCCCTAGCTCCCTTCCTTGACGATTTCGCAGAATCTTCTTCCTCTGATTCTGACAGCACAGAGGAAGTCATAAGCACAGTGCTTTCCTCCCACGCTTCCATTACGGATTAGCGCGCGGGTCTGGAACCGTCCATGCCGGGTGGGCCAGTCTTCGTCTCCTGGAGGTAAACGCGCTCTCCAAGGCACTGGCTGAGCAAGGGACGTGGGGGACGCCAGCAGCCAGCAGAATGCTAGCTGGTTCTCTTGAGCTGAAACGTGTTTGAACCGGGATCACTTGGGAATGAAAATCAAACCGGCAGGTTATTTATTCACACGAAAAGTTCATGTTTTCGTTGGACTTTGAGCCATTTCGCTGCGCAGCGCTCCCTTCTTTTCCCGGGGTGAGCACCAGCGCCCTGCCGGCTCCCGGCTCTGGCTGCAAGAGGCTGCGCCCAGTGTTGGACTCATTGCAGGCGGCGAACGCTGTGTGGAGCTCCACACGCAGATGTTCGCAGTGGAAAGAAGCCCATTACCAACTTAACTCTAACAGGCCTTTTGAGCAGAGGCTCGGTTGAAACGTGTGAGTCCCTGGAACCGTGCCTGATGATGCATTTTGGTCTCACTAAGCACAAACCTACCTGGAATTGTTACTTGAGGCTAATTTTCGAAGGGTGTGTTTTGCTTTAAGGTCCGTGTGGAAATAGATGGATATCTCAGGATTGTGGTAAATGAAGTTTCCCTTTTCCTTGAATGTGGAGGAACACACGCTTCTGTATCTGCATGAACGAGTGTGTGTCATCCGTACAAGGAAGTTTGAGAAAGCGCTGGGCTTTGTCAGAGGACAGGAACTCTTCAGGGGTCACTCTCTCCCTGTCAGTAAAGAAGCATCTCTCCGCAGTATTTAATTCTGTGCTAATTCCAGTTGATTCGATTGTTTGAATTATTTTCTCCAGACATGTAAAAACAAGAATAATTGTAGAAATTTAACACACCAAATAAAAGAAGAGCATTTAAATGAGGCACAGAGTACAAAGATGTTACTAATTAAAACCATGTGCACTTGATTATTCAGACCTAGAGGAACAGATTCTAAGCACTGATTGACATTAATGCAGAGTCTCTCTCTCCCTCAATCTTTCTCCTCCTCCCTCTCTGCCTGGAAGAGAAAAAAGAAGCGGTTGATTAATTTGAACTGTCAGTCCCAGTAAGATTATGTTAGTTTTTTTTTTTTTAAAGAAGCAAAATCCACTCCATATTTTTCCACATCAAGTTGTATAACCAGTTACGGAAATTAAGATGATGAAAATTAAATGCAGTCTAACATCTGATGCTACAAATGAGTAAAGTACAACAAAACCAGGGGACAGATATACTGGGATCAATCAAAGAAATGTTTTAAGAAATGTCACCCTTGGAGCAGATCTTTTTAAAAATTTTTTAAATGTAATTTTTTATTATTTTAATTTATTATTTTTAAAATGTAAACATAGGGGCTCCTGGGTGGTTCAGTCGGTTAAGGGTTTGCCTTCGGCTCAGGTCATGATCCCAGGATTCTGGGATCCAGCCCCACATTAGGCTCCCTGCTCAGCGGGAAACCTGCTTCTCCCTCTCCCACTCCCCCTACTTGTGTTCCCTCTCTTGCTGTGTCGCTGTCAAATAAATAAATAAAATCTTTTAAAAAATTTAATACTCTAGAATGGTTACTGTGAATCCTAAAACAGATCATTCAATTTCTCTGTTTACAAAACTAGGATACAATCCCACCCAGCCCATTCTTCACAGTATAGGAATCTTAGAAAACGTTAGTTTGTGAAACATTTTGGAAATAATTTGAAGTCCTTTGAAGGGGGGAGTTTGAAATATAAACCAAAATATCCATGCAATATGATTTAGAGTAATGATCATTGAATATGAAACTCTGACCTTCTGTATAACTTACACAAGCCTCCTATTTTGAGCTACATCGACACCATATATAAAATGGTGGTAATATAATTCCTGTGAACCTGATTGAATTGTCATATACCAAAAAAAGCATTGTATGTAAAATCTTAATACCTTTGTATATTTCTATAAAAAATAGGTAATATTATTGATGGAGTATCTCTTGGTCACTATTTCTACACCTCAGTTTCAAGACTGAATAGATTACTTGGGGGTTCTGTTTTAAATATTAACATATTTTTCTCATTATTTCTGTATTTTACTTATGTTTCCTTTTAGAGATAACCCAATACCCACATTTGACTCTTTTCAATCAATGGCTTCAACATCTCTAGCATCATATCGAGCTGATATTCTCTTGTGTTCAACTACAACTAAGTATTACCTACCTATTGCCAATTATTTCCAAATTGGACCCTATTTAAAATTTTTCTTTTGTTTGTTTCCTAATGAAATGTCGAATTTCTGAAAAAAAAAAAAAAAGATTCCAAAATGTAGAAAGCATTACTAAGAGAATCATTCAAAATAGGGTCAGGGGAATATTGAGGAAGCAGGGCTATGCAGGTCTTCTTTTTCAGTTCTTGGAATAGCATGGACTTTTGACTTTTGTCAATTGCAACTGGACCACCTCCAGCTAACATGTTCTAATTTGCTGAATTATCATCAGGTAAATCTAGAGGACTTTGTGTTTGCTTTTGTATTAGTTTAGCTCAATTGACTTCAGTTATAGGAAAAAGGTAGATAGGATTTCAGAACTCCACTGGCTTCAAAGTAGCTGAAGTACAAAAATCCATCAGTTACATTTGTTTGATTTTTCTGTTGGGGAAAGTAACAAGTGGAGATGAGATAAACTTAGTGTAATTGAGCAGTATAAACCACAGCTGCCCATGTGTAAGATTTCATTTTAGAAAATGACTCCCTGAGCACTTTCTTATTATTTTTTTTCTTTAGAAAAAAAAAAAAGTTGAGTATGACTTGCTTAAAAAAAAAAAAAGTGCAGCTTTTGTTACGTGGATAAGTTACTTAAACTTTTTGAGTCTGTATCTTCATTTTAAAACAGAAATAAGGCAACCTGCTTTGCAAGGTTAACATACAACACCTGGCTGAGGCCCTTGTTTGCAAAATGCTCAACATATAACAGGCTGGTCCATTTCTAGGACATCTCTTCAGAGACAGTGTCTTGGAGAGTTTTTCTTGTTCACTAACATCAAACAGGGAATATTGCTTTATTCAAACACATCAATGTGAGTAGAATTGATACACAAGTATGTGGAAATTCCACTTCAGGTTTTCAGTACTATGGAGATCCTTTCATAGGTCATCAAGTCCTGCAGGGTAGCAGGTTGCTAACCAATGACAAAATGAAACTATCCTTAAAAAATATACTGCCAATTTAGCCTATATGCCACATTAAATATTTTAAACTGCCTAGTAATATGCATTCTTTTTAATAAGCATACATATATGCTTAGTATCTCCTTTTAAATATATGTGTATCTGTGGATGAACATGCATGTGTATGTGCATGAGTGTATTCACATATGTTTATATATACATATAAATAAAAATAATTATTACTCTGATACCTCCAGCTGTTACTCAATTATTTAGAGAAACATTTCTTGGAAATATTGTTTAAAATGGTCTCCTTTATTATTTTATTTTTCTCACCTCTTATTACACCATTTTCTTTCTAGACCCATCTAATTGGGCTTCTCTGACAAGGTCACCAATGAGTTTTCTTTTTCTGAATCCAATGGTCATTATCCTGTCCTTACATTTGTGAAAATTAATAAAGGGAGACCTCATTAAAGTAGAGTCTGAAGGCAAGAATGGGAAGTGGTACCACTCACTGTCAGTTACAGGAAGAAGTGTCAGTTACATGGTTAGGGAAAAAAATGGACACTACATCTCCTACAAGAAATTGACTACCCCTACTACAACTCAGCCAAGGGGAAACTGTCATCACCCTGAACTCCTGCTTTTCTCCAGTGGACTTTCATTCAAAACCATGCCTCCCAAGTTCCTCCTTCTTCTCCATAAAATAACTCCTCTCCTTTGTTTGTTGGACTTGCCTTTGGTTTGCCATAGCTTGCACATCCCAAACTGCAATTCTCTGCTATTCTCAAATAAACCCATTTTTTGTGGTAAAATAACTTTTCTTTTTTAAGTTAACATTATACTCAACGTCTTACCTGACTCAAGAGCAGTCTTTGACTGATTTGATGACTGCCTCCTTCTTGTGAAGTTATTCACATAAATGGCTATTTTTCCTCAGTTTTCCCTGCTGATACCTTATCTGCTCAAACCCCTTAATGTTGGAATTCCTACGACTTAGTTCTTGGAACTCTGCTCTTCTTTTTCTGCATTATCTGCTTAAGTGATCTCATCCAATCCCAAATCCCATTGCTTTGACTATATCATTTCTATGACATTGACACTTTAATCTGAAAAAGACTCCATTGTGTCCCAGATATATGTAGATG